AAACAAAAAAATATATATAAATATATAGTTTTCTTTTTTTTAAATATGTAATAATTCTAACAAAGTTTGATAGATATTTAAAAATATTTAGAGTTTTGCTATTTTAAAGTGTTTTATTCATTTAGATTCAGATTAATTTATACAATTTAAATTGATTGTATTTAAATTTTACCATTATTACAAATAAATATTTTATTTTCAGGTGATGTTTTTAATTTTGAAGTGCTGCGGTCTTGGGAGTTTGAAGAAAATTTTCCAATACGTTGTATAGTATTTCCTTATCTAACTGCAGGAATACCATTTTTATTAATGAATAAATTATTAAGTCCAATACTTTCTTTTAATGAAAATCCATTATTACTACTATTAATTCCTCGTTTAGTCATGTTCTGTTTAATGTTAGGCCAGGATTGGTGCCTATATAAAATATGTAAAATGTTTAAAAAAAATTATGTTTATAGTTTATTTATATTTTCAACATCTTATGTGACCATTGTATTTTACACAAGAACGTTTAGTAATTCTATTGAATCATTACTATTTTCATTTTTATTGTTGGTTGTTTCGAAAGTTATATATGAATTAAGTGAAAGTAATAATGATTCAAATGATATTCCTTATGGTAATTTAATAGGCTTACTACTAGCTCTGGGAATTTACAATCGTCCAACATTTATATTATTTGCATTTGTTCCAGTTTTATTTTGGTTGCAAATAGGTTTAAAAAAAAATGTTTTAAGTTTTATTGTGATGTTTTGCAGACTATTGACAGTTATACCAACATTTGTTATTGTTTGCTTTTTATTGACATTAATTGATACAATTTATTATTCTAAAACATCAATTTCACACTTGTTTAATCACTTGAAAGATATTTTTTATTTGTTCCAGAATTTAATTTTTACGCCAATAAATTTTATTCATTATAATCTTGATAATTCAAACTTGGCAATTCATGGCATTCATCCAAGGTTTCTTCATTTATTAATTAATGTTCCTTTGTTGTTTGGAATTCTTGGATTAATGGGTATTTTCTGCTATATCCAAATTCTTTTAAAAATGGTTAAAGGTCTATGGCCTTTTTATGATCTCTTACCACATAATTCAATGATGCTAATGAGTTTTGTTTTCCCTATTCTTACCTTATCATTATTTTGTCATCAAGAACCTAGATTTTTAATTCCTGTTCTTCTTCCACTTTGTTTTCTTTTTTCTGATTCAATTTATGGCTACACTTTAAAAAAGCAATGGCTATTTATGATGTGGATCCTCAGCAATCTAGTCTGTGGTTTCTTTTTTGGATTTGTACATCAGGGAGGTTTAATTCCCTCTATGATTTCATTGCAAAAAGTATTAATGAAAAATAATAAATTGGGAATAAACTCTCATGTAATATTTTATCATACTTATATGCCACCAAGATACTTATTAAATTTAAATTCAACTGATCCTAGTTTTATTCATGATCTTAGTGGAAATGATTATATAATATTTGAAAATACTGTTAATGATATATTATCAAAAGATCACTTTAATGAAACAGTAAAACTTTATGTTGTAATTCCAAATACAATTAGTGAACAAACTCTAAATTCAAAGTTTGTCTTATTGACAAAATTTTATCCTCATTTTAGTTCTGAAGATCCACCTAATTTTAAAGAATTTTATTCTGAACAATGGACTTTTGATGTTTTTAAAAGATTTTTTGGTTTATTCAGTTTAAATTTGTATGAAAAACAATAATTGAAAATAAATAAATATTTTATTTTCAGGTGATGTTTTTAATTTTGAAGTGCTGCGGTCTTGGGAGTTTGAAGAAAATTTTCCAATACGTTGTATAGTATTTCCTTATCTAACTGCAGGAATACCATTTTTATTAATGAATAAATTATTAAGTCCAATACTTTCTTTTAATGAAAATCCATTATTATTACTTTTAATTCCTCGTCTAGTCATGTTCTGTTTAATGTTAGGCCAGGATTGGTGCCTATATAAAATATGTAAAATGTTTAAAAAAAATTATGTTTATAGTTTATTTATATTTTCAACATCTTATGTGACCATTGTATTTTANAGACCTATTAGTTACAGTCAAAGTGTAAAACACATAACAGTAGCTTAAGTTTACATGATGAAAGTGAAAGCATATATTATATATACTGCATATGAGCTCTTCCAATTAAGCTGAGGAGTGCATAGGCACCTCACAGTCATTCATAGCTATATGTCTGATATTAATTTGAAAATTATTATTAATTGTATGAATAAACAACAACAATAGTGAAAGATAAAGAGTATTGATTAAATTCATTAAATGTAAAAAAAATGATTAAATTGCTCAGCCTTTTCATTCAATTGAAAATACCTATCAATATCTTCATCTTTTGAGCACAGCATTCATCAGAATATCATTTTGTGAGAAGACTGATTGTGATATGCATATAATTGTCACATACGAATATAATTATATGTACAGGATGACAACAGAGAGGAAAAGCCAGGACTGTAGCTCTGGGACCTGAACCTGTATAGGACTCTGTACCCTTTCTGTACAATAATAATTTAATTATGAAGTGTAGAAACTCAATTTATATAATTTCAATATTTAGAAAAAGTGAGGAAAAAAGAGAAATATGATCAAAGAATGGGTGGATCTAGGTCTTTCAGGGCCTAGAGCTTATTGAAGTCCAAATGGACCCCATTTTTTGTTATATTATGAATGTTTAAATTGTGGTTTAAAATTGCAACTTGGTCCTTGCAAACATTGATTACAATAACACAAATAATATATAAATTATCATTATTATTATTATTATTATTATATTAACTATTTTTCAGTATACGATAAGTGCTCATTGTTAATGAAAAAGTATTAAAAATTTATGATGATATTTCAATTTTTGTGGGCACAGGGCTTAAGTCTTATTAGTCCCTATGTAGATCTGCCCCTGTCCAAGAAAATCACATCAGAAGATAGGTCCAGGAAGTTCAAGCACCAAGGTTCATGATTACTCTTTATGGTTCTATAGATGATTTATTTGAATTAAAATCCAGAAACAAATTTTTATCATAGTTTATTTTTAGAGTAAGAGAACTTATAACAAAATCATTTTTTTAAATACTTTCTCTCATTTTATTAATTTAAAAAATTTTGAATTCAAACTCAATTTTATTTTTTAGAAATTTACAAATATAAAAGCAAAAGAATATTTAAATGTGAACTGAAGAATGAGAAGATAATTTTGTTAATATTTATTATTATTGATAAATGATCATAAATATTAACAAAACAAGGAAATTATTTATTTATGGCAATCTTTTGTGAACAATTCTTTGTTTTTTTTAATTGCATATAAGTAACTTGCCATAAACAAATAGTTTCCTTGTTTTGTTAATATTTATGATAATAATAATAATAAATTTTAAGAAAATGATCTTCTCATTCTTCAGTTCATATTTAATTAAATATTCTGTAACTTTTATAATTATATATTTTTAGAAAATAAAGTTGAATTTCAATTCAAATAGAACACACACACACACACAGTATATGGTTTTTTTTTGTTTTGTTAATAAATAGTACAATAATCACAAATTTGTTCTTATTATTTTGTGTTCTTTCTCTTTTTGAAAAACTGTTTTGATAATTATGTATATTTTGTAGACTTTAACTGAATGAAACTTTTTCACAAATTTTTGTGAGTAGTTTGATAAATGCTTAATTTTAAAGTGTCTATTAATATTATATACTTTCAGCATTGAAAAACTTTACCATATATTAACACAATGCTTTACCACCGGATTTTATGAAAAACTAGTTTATGCAGTATTGTTGTTGAAGCATGTGCTATTGAGAATCAGTATTTCTCAACAATCCTGCTGTATAAAAAACAAAAGACATATTGAAGCTATACTTTACGTTATGCCTTTTGTTATATGTTAGTTATGTTATATTGTTAGTTGTCAGTAATATGTTAGTTTTTGCAATCTAATATTTACACTTAAAACTAATTCTGCTATGATAAGTATAATTAATGATGCAGTATTATTAATAGCAGAAGATACTGTTTTGGTTTGTATTATTAACTCATTATCCTTTCAGCTCTGGTATAAGAATTTAGAAATATTATACGTACAAGAGAAACAAAATAGTTCTCTGCTGCTATGCATTTATTGCTGTTGTTTGCATGCAATCGCATATCTTTGTTATGAAATATGCATTTCTTGTATTTTGTGAATTAATCACTAGCTGTCTGTTACTATATTCCATTTCTTCTCCACTATTTACTGCATGCTTTGCATTAGGTCTATCAAGAAAAATAAAGCTACAAGTGAAATATACTGTGTTTCTTTGGTTCTAAAGATGCCATTACTTTGTAAGATATACTATAAATTTTAAATTTTAAGCACAAAAATTTTTTATTAACTTATAACAACAAATTTATCCATAACATTATTTACAACTGCTTTTTGGTATTAAATAAAATATAATTTACTCTGTAGCAACCATATCCTTTTCATAATAACAATTCCATGCTCTTTTGTACAATATATTATATTTTCTCTCTAATGTGTACAGTAATCTTTTTGTGGACATTTTAAATAGCTGAATCTAAATTTTAGTTGAGTTCAATACATAGTATTGCCATTGCACATAATTGAAGAAACAACAGAATAAACATACTTAATAAAAATTATTTTATTTGCATAGTGCCAGATCTATGGTAATTTGTGTCTGAGGAAAACCAATTTTTGCTGCCACTGCTTCCAGTATGGTTGTCAATAGAAAGCACTTAAAGCTCTGGAGCTCTTTTACGAACTATTTATAAACAACTTTAAAGTACATTTATGAGACTTGATTGTATTCGGCTTAATGTTTTTATTATTATTTTTTTTTCTCTTTTTGAACATTTTTGACTGCTCATTTTGCTGCTGAGGCAATCACCTTGTCACGTTATGCATTAAGTCAATCCTGATTTACAGATAATAAAAACTATGTTATAACTTGCACTTTTACAGTTATCAAAACTGGCATATTTTTTAACAAATATAAGACATATTCTAATTTTAGAGATTAAAATATGAAATAATGTGCATCTTAGAATTGAGGAAATACAGTAAAAAATATGCTTTTAAATATACCATACTAAAAGTAAAAGTACATATCAATATTTACATAAATATTTTGAATGTTAATTTTTTTTAAACTGATGCAATGTTTATCAGCAAAATAGCCAAATCTAAGCTGTGGGTTATAATTTGGAGATCCTTGATTCAAACATTATAAAATTACAAAATATCCAAATTTGAAATTTATATAAAACTGTATACACTCACTGCCAAAAGTTAAGCACAGAGTGATAAACTGCGAAAAAATCAACAAATACAGCTGTGATTGACATGAAATGTGGCAGGACAGTAGCAAATATGTTTATGCATGAAACACAAAGAATTACATAGAAAAATGAAAACATATTGAATTTTCAAAAGTATAAGATGAAATCATATTGGAATCATTAACAAAAACGATGTTTAAATCCAAAACAAACAAACAAAACCGACATTAATTAATAGGGTAAATGGTCCCCCCTTATCCTTACACAAAGTTTACAGCAAGTAACCATGCTTTCCATGAGGTGATCAACCATCCAGAGTCAAATAAGTGCCATTCCTCCTGTAGAGCAGTTTGCAACTCTGAGAGAGGCAGGGTGTGGGAAACATGCACATATAGCACGGCTGAGGGCATCCCAAAGATTCTCAATGGGATTGAGGTCTGGTGAATACGCCAGCCAATCCATATGCGCGATTCCCTCACTCTCGAGGTAGTCGTCGACAAGGGCAGCTCTATGGGGTTGTGCATTATCGTCCATTAAAACAAAAGCAAGATCAACTGCTGCAGCATATAATTTCACAATGGGTTTGAGGACTTCATCCTGATACCAGACAGCTGTCACAGAACCCCCTCAATAGATGTGCAAGTCGGTGTGATATCCCAACGAAATGCCTGCCCACACCATAATGCTTCCACCTTGGAATGTGTGATGCTCGATGATATTCTAGAGTCGATTGCGTGTGCCTTTTTCTCTCCATACTCTTACACATTTGTCATCTGCCTCCAGGGAAAATCGCAACTCATCTGTGAACATAATGTTGCCCCAATCAGACACAGTCCAATTCACATGTTGCCGACACCACTTTAATCGTGTGCCTCTGGATTGGATGGATAGTGGAACACAAACTCGTGGTACCCGTGCATACAGTCCGTTCATTTGTAGCCTTTGGCGCACAATAGTAGCAGATATCATTTTACCAATGGCTACTGCAACCATCAATGTCACATGTGTAGAGGTTGCTCTTTGATTCTGCTTGACAACAGCAATATAGCGATATTCTGCAGGAGTCGTAACTCTTGGGCGACGGGCCACAGGTCTTCGAACATGTTTGGCTTGTTTGGAATTGTTTCCATAACCGTGAAATGATGGAATGATGAACGCCGAAGAAAAGAGCAACATCTCTGATTGATTGTCCTGCTTCAAGGTGTCCCACACACCACCATCGCTCACTGTATGTCATTCGTCTTCTGGAAGTGATAGAAACACATCAGTCATGCACACTAATTGTACAACAGTTCTCCACACTTTTTTCTCGTCACTTACATGCAACTCCTCTCACACTTCAGAAGGCTGGCTTCTTATACTACTGCCTGTTTT